GTGTGTCGCTCAACGGGGACGATCTGAGTAATCCAGTCTCTGTTCAGGTCCAGCTTGCCGATGGTAGCCAGGTCGAAGAAGCTTTTCTCGTTCATAACCCTGACACGCAGGTCAAGAGCACCCTCGCTACTCAGTTGGGTCTGGACCTCGCACCTAGCTTTGTTCCCGGTACGGGCGATATAGCTGCCGCAGCCCCTTTCAATCAGACCAGCATCCGGGGTGTGTTTGCTGCGGGCGACTGTATGACTCCGTACAAGGTGGTTGCGGGCGCCATTTCTAGTGGATGCAATGCGGCTGTTGCGGCTTCAGCGCAGCTGCTTGCGAAGAAGCATGGCCACCAGCCGCTTTTCTAATTTTAACGTTTAGTGAAGATTCTAGATGATATGAGGGCTATACTATCCTGGTCAGATGTTACAAGACAAGGAAGGTGATGGGAAGCGGAACAGCTGTAAATTCTATACAGAAATTGAACATATGTCCAGAACCTGTAGAAAAGGCTAATTGGTGTCGTTCGAGATAGGGTCCCTGAAAGGCATGTAGGCAGCTAAACACCGATTGTCCAGGATGGTAGATTACACAACCTCAGCCTACACAGAATGGCGAGGGAGGCTTTGCAAGGACAGTTGTACGAGACATAGGAATGACAAATACGGCATGATAGGAAGGAATGCGCTGGAAACAAGCTTGTTCAGGACCCGTGGTTCCTTCCCCCTATTGATTCGGCCAAACGCCGAAACGGGGCAAAATTTCGCCGTTCGAGGCAACTGGTTTCCCGTCCCCGCAGTTCCTCGGCGACTGCCATCCGATCGCGTTTCTAACAAGAGCCGAACAATCCTGATCTCAAAGACCTACAAGCCGACCGCCTTCAATGTATACATTGCTTCAATGTGTTTCCGGTCGCTCCATTCATTATACAAGATTATTACGGGCTTTGTTGATAATAGACTTTCCCCAACCCTTAGCCAGGCGGTCTCCTACACGATCCGGTTTGGGAGAACAATTTCCGTTTACCCCATAGAATCCGTCATCGAGATATGTACTAATTTTATTAGTGCACGACTATTGTTTAGACATTCGACTATCTATTTATCTAGTCGAACCATATGCATAATAGCAACTTTGGGTATTATGAGTCAATAGCAACCATTGCTAATCATACCAAAAGCGTATCTGTGAGTCCACTGGGCAGCCATTACGTTTGCATCTCTCCATGGGACCCGAGAACTATGCCAATCCAATGTTTTGCCAACCTCGACTTTCCGGAGTGTTTCTGTGGCGGCCGTAAGATCATCCGCAAGGAAAAAAAGCCTCGTACTGAGGATACTTTTTTGGCAGGTATTGGTTATAACATCCGTTATCTGCTCGACATCCATTCCCACAAAAGGCGAGCAGAACATGTCGTCGACTGGGGGAACACTGGCTGATTCGGGATTCAGGAAATCGAGGGCGTGTATAATGTTGGTGTCTAAGAGTATCAGACCGGGGGGAAGACTTCGGTCGCTCGCGTATGCTTCGCTAAATATATCAGAGAGCATCTAGGAGAGTAGTGTTAAAACGGATGTGACTGTATTGGAGACGATTGAGTAAGTCTTACGTGTGGAGGGATGGATTCCTCCATGCAAATGATGCACACCAGTTGCTCGAGTGGATCAATCGGAGGTGGGACGATCGACATCCTCCTTTTCGTCTGGATAGTGAGGCTGCGGGTTGGCTCTACAGGAACTGGTGTCACCTGGTTGGAAGTAGAGCCGTTTGGCTTCGTCAGGATTGGCAGATTACTGGTGGACATTTTGTTGTTGTTAGGTTCATAGTATTGGATAACGACAAGATGCTGGTCCTTTAAACTGACCATCTGCAGACCAGGAACAAAGGGGTCGGAGTCTCCCAGTAATTAGTAGTAGCAAATGAGAAAGTCGGATAAAGGAGACTCGAAGCCAAACAAGCCTAAATATTCTTTCATAGAGGCTTCTACCGTCTTTTGTTGGCGACTTGCCTTAGCAACAAGTAGAAAAGAGACGGATATTAACGACATACTGGACATTCTCACAAAGTGCCCCGTTAGCTGCGCCGAGTCTCCTTGTTTGGTTCTCAACATGACCTTAGATCGTATAGAATGATGCCAGATACACAAGTAATGACACGGTCTTTTGGATCACTATTGGGGAATGAACATAATGAGGACACAATAAGGCGTGAAGAGACAAATGAACATTTGTATGTTGGGGGTTCTCTCCAAGGATTTTTCATTAATTGCATGAGATGTGTAGGCCCGGCACATGAAAAGTTCAAAGGATGATCTTGACAAAGTTTCACAGATAAAGTCACACAAACACGCGGGGCAGAGGAGGTACATTGGAATGGGTCTGGTGCCACTGTTTTGCTGAAATGAATGGCCTACAATAAATGACCTTGAACTATTCATATTACACAATATTGGGAAATTCCATGACAAGGCAAGGAACATTCCTTCCCGAACCGTGACGCCAGGAAGAGGTTGCAGTAATAGATGCATAGTTAATTGATTCCTGCAACTCTTAAATCCATGCTAACTACTCCTTCAATTCTCATTCGATAATTATATCCAAACTGAGCTGTAGTAGAATTTAAGTCTAAGTTCACCTCTCTCGTGGATGATAGCCCCCTCCGAATGTAACAAATTGAAATTACCCAAACGTACGATCGTCTCAGATATTCACTCCAAACTATTCCATCTATATCAAGCAAGGGATGTGGCAGAAATGATACTCTAGAGAGAAAAGTCCCTTCAGTCTGTCTCAGTTTGGCACCTAATTAACCCGGGAGACATCAGTATCACTTTCCGTAGGCAGCATATGAAGGCTTGAAAACACAGAGTGAAGAATTATTGAAAGTCATTACCTCCCCTTCAGTTCCAGTTAGCAGCCTAGTAACTTCATACTCAGACGTACGTAAACCCCATTAATAATGGCATACAATGTCCTACAATTGGCGGAGCGAGAAGATGCATTCTCTAAAAGCACATGAACTGCTTGTTGGATTAATTAACGTGAGTACCAGTGCGTCCAGGCGAAGGGCATGAATATTATGGTGCGGCTACAATGGGACTGCTGCCTTGGGTGCACTACAACTGGCCCCTGGCTTGTTACTATCCGCACAATATATAAACCGGGGACGGAGCAGGTCCGGACCTACGAAGTCATTAGAACCCACATGCATTAACAACCACAGCATACTAGAATGCTTGATCGTTTGCCTGATATAGTGCTGCTGCAGATTTGGGAATGCCTTGGCCCCGCGGCCCACAGTGTCTTCTCCAACGACCAAGGCTGGTACATTACCCCTCTGCTGCGGGTCTGCTGGCGACTCTACACAATGTTCATGCCCCTTGTGCACCAAGCGTTTGATATCCACACAGGCTCTTTCCCAAGATTTGAGAACGTCCCATATCTTCCATTTATTGTCTCTGCCACACAGAACACATGTCGGTATATTAACATTGCATCTGCCATTCAAATCCTTAGCGTAGAGGATCTGTTCGTTGGCCGAATTCCCAAGACTCCTCTTCCTCTCGACCCCGTGCTCCTCGAAGCCCTCTTGCAATCTCTCAAGGCACTCCCTGACCAGGTATGCTGGTGGCGCGAAGCACTGGAAGCCGGCCGTGAAGATGCATGGTTCTCCATTCTGCTGCTCCAACTGCCCAATTTGCGCAAGCTGGAGCTCAAATACCTTGACGCAACTTCGCCATACCTGCAGTCCATACTATCGCGGCTGACTGACCCAAATGACCCTCTCACAGGTCTTGCCCAGCTATCAGAGCTGAACTTCAGCCCTCAGATGCCTGTTGACTGCTCATATTTATCTAGCTTCATACCATTTACCCAGCTCCCTTCAATACAGAAGATTCGCCTCGTTAGAGCCATTGATAACTACCAACTCCCATCATTCACAGAAGAAGGCGACGCAACCGACTTGCTTGACACATCATCTCTTTCCCCGATCATTCCGCTGTATCAATCTTATTTCCACTCCGACCTAACGTACCTTACCCTCCACGGCTGCTACACCATTGCAACACTCTCCAGCCTCCTTACACGCCTTCCCAAGCTCAAATCCCTCATCTACCGCCACAACGACAGCGGTCTACCACAAGTCAAGACGCAAGCCACCACCGATCATATAAACCAGGATGCTGGGATAAATACCTCAATGCGCCAAGCATCACCCGTTGCTCAAACACTGCATGTCGCTACTTCAACTCCGATCAATATTTTGAACCCAGCTGAGCTGTACCTTGGTCTGACTGAAGCGCCTTGCAACTCCCTTCAAGAACTCTGGGTGACTGTAGAGAGATCTTTCCGTATGAAGGAATACGAGAGACGTACGCAGGACCTTCCAGGAATCCCTATCGGAGACCTAGGGGTATTTCACTCGCTACGGCAGGTGCGGATTCGTGTAAATAATCTCTTAACAGTGGTGCGGAATGGTGGCATTCCCCAAAACGGCACTTTCTCCAATGTCTGGGTGGGTAATGATTTATGGGATGTCTTGCCTTTGAGTCTGGAAGGACTGTTTTTAGAGGATTGTGATCGGGGAATATTGCCTGTGCTAGCGAGTCAGCTGAGACAGGTGTTGGAGAGTCAGGTAGGAACGAAGGAATATGTGTTGTTCCCTGTGATGAAGACTGTCGTGTTGCAGCAGCCGATCGATGAGGTGGACCGCGTGCCTTTTGTGTGTCCACCGAACATACCCCACTATTCGCTGGAGGCGTTTCAGCTGGAATATAATCATCGGAAGGCCGCGAATGATATTCAGCCGGATATATACGCTCTGTTGATGGTGTTAAAGAAGAGATTTACTACGTTTGATGTGGAACTGAAGGTGCTTGATAAATGGGACAGAGACGAGACTTTCCCTATGTAGCAGGCGGTTTCGACTCTTTGCAACATTATCATTATTGTCTCAGGACAGCTGAATACGAATAAATGAACATGCAACTCTCACAATTGATCACAAGTAAGTAGGCACAATGGGGAAATCATAACGTGAGGAATAGCTTCGCCCAGTTCTCCCTTACCATCTCCTAGCATAAATAGCCGTTCCACATTACTATTCCGAACACGCAGAGTAAATCAATAAACTCGGAAACAAAGTCTGTCAGGAAATAGAGAGCCTTGTCGTAGATCGGTCTAGCGAGGCACGCGAAGGATTCACTCAGCAGTATAAATTGCTAGTCAGATTAATCTGAATCCAGCCAAGACATACCCAACAAGTCGATGAAAATGGGATCCCAACCATACAGCTCCTTAAGGTCAGACTTAAGATGTGTATCCGGCTCAAAGTTGAGAGGGATGGATGACATCCACTGCTTCACGATTTCGATGTCTTTATAATCGTGAAAAACGTTTTGTTCGTTGAACCAGAACTGTTCCACCGCAAGCTTGCCATCCTCGGCATCATCCTCTGTGTTCAGCCTCTCCCTGTACAGTCGTAGATCCACCCCAATGGCTATAACCCCGTATACTGGTTGAAGAGTCGGGAATTTTGCCCGGATGTTCGTAAAGGCGCGGATCAGCGTCGCAACATGTTTTCTCTCGATAGCCTTCCAGCCCTTGCCGTCCCTGTCGTAGTAAGAATTGTGGGGATGACAGCTGAGCCAAAGAATGGAGGTTGGAGGAGCCGACCAATACTCTGTAGTTCCGGGCACGTCTTGGCTGGCGTGTAGAAACCGTTTGGACTCCGCGCGATTTAGGTCAAGAGTGAGAGTAGTGACGCTGAAGTCATCGGGTAAGGCGTTATGAGATTGGGTGGGGGCTGCCATCGTGACTGCTTTCCTTTTTCGTGTTGTCACGTGCATTGGAAAAAAGGATGTAGTGACGGCAGTGGGATTATAAGTAATTGCCGAGGCTGAGCTGCTGCTCTGATATGTACTGACAGGCAGTGAAATATGGAAGATGAATGGTTGATCTATTTATAGACGTTCATTGAGATATATGGTTTCCATCCAGTGACTAGCACAAAGCTTTTGTCTTCGTAGTGAAATATAATTTGTTATTCATAGAGTATGTGCCTAGTACTGATAGTTGGAATGTGCCTTGGTCAATATTGGTTTAGTCACTGCTAACTTTAACCATAACAGTTAGGCATATTGTTCTACGGTCACCAGACTTGGTTGCTAGACTCATAGCTACCATTGACTGGGACTTTTCGTTAATTGATAAAAGTTCTCACCTGTTCCTATCATAATCCAAAATTAATCAGACATGTAGAATCACTAGTAGACACACGACCTGAGACAGTATAGCGCCAACTCAAAGCCCACAGGGGGTTCAAATCCCCAGATTTGAGGATGCACTCGACTAAACTCCGCGTGTCACAGGTAATTTCCTATTTAGCTATCGAAGTGAATCATAGAGAAGTGCTAGCCACTCCAAGACATGAATTGTTCACTTCCTTTCAACTGCTTTCAAAAGAGGCTTTGTCCGCTTTTGTCCGCTTTTGTCCGCTTTTGTCCGCTTTTGTCAAAAGCCTTTGTTTGTTTGCCTTTCCGCGTTCCCGGTTTTCATACGTCCTTACATTGACTCTCTCACCTGAAACATCTACAATATGTTGCTGCGAACCAGTGAATAGATCATGCGTGTGGGCTACGTTCGACACTTTTTCTCCATTTGAGGCTCAATTGTAGAGCTTATATATAGTAGAATCATAGATGAATACACAAGAACTTGGATGGAATATTATTATTGGTGCACGGGCCTACCACCCCAGACACTCATCTGCGCAGATCTGTGCACAATCTCATTGAGACTTTGGGTCTCTGCTCCTAACGCCTGCAACCTCTCTCTACAAGATGGCTGTGTCGCAGGCCCTTGTTTTCTAGGCATTGCGTCTAGGAGATGGGACAGAGTTAGCGCACTTAGCATCTGAGCTGCTTATATTACCGGATGTATCCAAAGGGTCATGGTCAAAAAGACCGAAGGTAGTTTGCTGCGTGGCATAATTAACTCATACATTATGAATGATTACTCATTTTATTAGAGATAGATAGAAGATTGACTAGGCCCATTCCCTCACGGAGCAGGTTGACTTGCCTGGCCCCCATCTTTCTCCTTCTCCTCCATACTGAACTTGGTATCCAACTCCTTCCGCAACGGAATCTCTTTTTCCACAACGACCAGCAAAAACGCCAACCCAGCGAAAGCCATAGAAACATACCACACCGTCTTAATAGCATCAACATAAACACTAACCACTTGTGCCCTCGTCACTGCATCTGTAATCGAATCCATAAACGCCTTCGTAGCAGCCTCATATGCCTTCCCGTCCCTCAACTGCTCCGCAACACTGGAGTCCCCAATCCTCCCCAACAAGGCATTCACCCGATTATTGAACGCCGCTGTAGGTATAGTCGCACCCCATATAAGCCCGAAACTGCGAATAAACGCCCACGTTGAAGTTGAGAGCGCCGTATCTGCTTCCGTGAGCGACGCCTGCACGGCAGGAAGGAGGACGGGCAGGGCAAGACCTGTCCCCACCGCACTAGGAATCTGAAATCCGACCCATTGGCCCGTACTCGCGTGAGCTTTTAGCAGAGTTAACAGCCCGAATCCGATAATCATGAACGCGAAGCCAGCATGTTGAATGGGACGGTAGCGGCCAAGTTTGGAGAGTAAACCGCCCGCGGTGATGGCAGCCGGGATCATGAACAGAATAGTAGGGAGGAGTTGGACGCCCGAACGGCTGGGTGAAGCGGCAAGAACAGCCTGGAAATAGACAGGGAGGAAGTACATGACCGCGATGGCGGAGAGGCTGTGCAGGAAGGTGAGGCCGAAGGCCGTAGCGGACGTGCGGTTAGCAAAAAGGTGTAGCGGCATGGTGGGGTTCGGGCAGTATCTCGGGGAAGCTTCGTAGAGGAAGAAGACAGCGAATCCAACGAAGCCAAGGACTAAGGGGACAATGACGCGGAAGGAAGACCAGAGGTATTGGCTACCACCCCAGGAAAGAGCGATCAGGACGGAGATCATAGAGAGGACGAAGAGGGTGTTGCCGAGCCAGTCGATGCGTTTCAAGCGCTGCAGGTAATCGGGAGTGCTGTCGAACTTTACGCGCAGGAAAAGGAATAATGTCACCATAGCGGCAGCGCCGATGGGAACATTGAGGTAGAATACCCAGCGCCAGGTGGTATATTGGACTATGAGGCCCCCGAAGAGAGGGCCCAGTGTGGTTCCGATGGCGATGAGGCCGAACATGAGACCTAAGTAGCGGCCTCGTTCGCGAAGGGGTAGCAGATCGCAGACGATAATTTCGATGAGTACGTTGATGCCCCCTGCACCAATACCTTGGATTAGTCGACCGGCGATTAACATGTCGATGTTACTGGCGCCGCCTGATATGCCGCTACCTAGGGTGAAGGTCGCCGTGCTGATTATCATGGGCCATCTGCGACCGTAGATGTCGGCGATCTGGCCGAATAATGGCTGAAATGCTGTCCTGCGATAATGTCACGTTAGACGAGAAACAGTCTATATGGTGAGCGGTCCGTACTGAGTAAGGTAGAATCCATTGACCACCCATACGTAAAGATTGGCACCCCCAATGTCTGCTGTAATGGTCGGGAGAGCAGTGGAGGTGATGGTCGCTTCCAATGAAGTCAAAAGTCCGGAGAGCGCGAGCGCCGCGATGATCGCAAAGAAGCGAAAGGACTTTTTCTCGGTCGCTAGTTGGGGCGCTTCGTTGTGCTCTCTATGGTTCTGCTTCTCGGCGATTGTCTCATTAGAGGAGACTTCCCCTGGTACATTGGGTGTGATGCTTTGCTCTGGCTCAGCGGCGGATCTTGTTGTGAAAACGTTCTGCGCCGAGTTGGCAGTCATTGTCTAAGAGAGATAAGCCCTGACGCTTATTGTGGGAATAGAAAGATATCTTATTCCAGTTGAAAGAGATTTCTGGAATTTATTTGTATAGGCTCGAGAAAAGACATGACTAAACACATTCTAGGCTTGCGTCCAAAGTAGACTACGTATAACGCTGCAGGAACAGCATCCTGCCCAACTCGATCTGTCCCAAACCCTCCAATGAAACGCCAAACAGTGTACATATTGGGTGAAGGCAGTGTTCAACTATGGAAAAATAGGAGTGCAGTTAAAACAGAGTGTTGGCAAATCATCCGGATGATATTCAGTGTACAGATCCGGCGAGTTGGGAAAGATTGGGGAACGGATGATGACAGGATCCGGGGAGGAAGGGAAGGAGTGAGGCGGAGTCGCACAGATCCGAGCCGAGCAAGAACGGATGATGGATGATCTGTTGGATTGAAGGTAAGAAGAGTATTCAGACTAAGGCTGGACGAAAAACCCTCTTGTGAGGAAAAAAAAAAAAAAAAAAAAAAAACCAGTCATGTCGAGCTTTCTTCGGCACCAGTTTCATACTATGTAAATAGCTCCACCGGGGGTCCGTCGCAGACTAGACGAGCTCCAACCAATGTCTCGAGTGCTTAATCTCGGACCTGCTCACCATATCCCCGTCAAAAATCATAGACAATATGCGACCCTTGGGTTTTTGAAGCAAACCGACCAATGACTCGGTGATCGTGGTAGAACAGATGGCCTGAGATATACTACTAGTTCATTCGAGCCGCGAATTTCCAGTAGATTAAGCACTACAGACATACCCAGAGGCAAACAGCCTTCCAATTATCACAGATGCTGCAAAGCATCCCAGCGTAGCCCAAAGCTACGTAGAGCCTTCTACCACTAGACAGTGGCGTCTGTTTCAACTGCTGCCCTAACTAGTTAGTAGTAATAGCAACAAGCTCAGCGAGGGTGCAGACCTCACCGCCCTATAGACCGTTCAGAACTGGCAGAAACCAGCGAACCTCGGAGCAAAAACCTCGGATATAAGCGGATTTAAGCCATTCCAGCCCCAGGAACCACCAGTCGAGAATCTGTGATTATTTTGGGCGGTGAAGGGTGTAGTCTGCGGGAATGTTGTTGCGGCCTCAGGCCTCAATGAAGGATTTGCGCTCTTCCGCCTTCCGGGAAAAACCCCCCAATCCAAATGCACAGAGCGAGAGTCCGGCTTGTATAAACGCTCCACTTCCTTCCTCTGTAGCTAGCTAAAGAGAAAAGTGTCTCGGTATCGCTGCCCCGACTTTGCCCCGAGTTCCCGACCGAGGCCGCCTGCAGATTGCGAGTTGACTCAACCCCGCTGCGGACACCGAGGTAACTTGAATCGCCTTTCATGAAGCATCATCACATGTTCCTGTTCTTCTTCCATTACTACTGATTTTTTGACCTTCATTTACCGCCTGGAGTCGGTTTCACGTCCGGAAACATACCGCAGTTAATGGTCAACTCAGACCTCCACGAGCCACCGTTCAGCTACTGCTCTCACTCCCGTGAGGAAGATGTGGCCCTAACCTACTTAGATTCGGGCGAAGTTAGCCCTATGATGCATGATTCATACCCAGGTGTTCTATCTTTTGACCCTTCAAGTCACCGGTATCCAGTGGACGAACAATGCGATGGCAACCAGCATATGCGTCATCTACACAATGTTACAGAAACCTACGACTCCTTCGGGCAATCAAGTCTAGATTCATCTATAATGGAGAATGATTCTCTACATGATTTTGTCCGTGCGGATTGCATTTCTCACGAGTCCCTATATGATTCCAGCTGCCCTGAAGCATGGAGCATGGCGTCCCTAGATGCAGGCGCTTTCATAGGTGAAAGGGCCGTGGACGCTCCTTCGGCGCTTGCATCCGGTTCAGAGTACGAACAGGGTGGGCGCAAACGCAAATCTCATTATTATCCCAGAGAGACAGTTCGTATTCTGAGAGAATGGCTTGACCAACGCCAGGAACGTCCGTTTGCAACTAAAGAAGACCGCGAAGAGCTTCTGCAGCGCACAGGATTGACGCGGGCTCAGTTGCGCAACTGGCTTGCAAACACCAAACGTCGGGGAAAGGTTCGATTGTCTACGCTACAACAGAATGAGTCGTTACCACCGGGTGCTGTTGACATCCCGCATCAATCTGTGTCGCAGATGACACCTTTCGAGCGCTGGAAATATTCCCCACCTGAACATGAGCCTGCTGCACCGAGCGACATAGCTCAGGCGCTGTCGAACCTTCCACCCGGCTCTCACGCAGAACTAGCGATAGGTTCAGTGAATTCTGCAGCACATTCATTAAATTCCGGGACCAGCCAAGATTCCCATCCTGGGCATTGGGATATTTTCCAAACACCATCTGTTGGCAGCCACCAAACCAGTAGATCTTCCAGCTCTAGTATATCGATTGCATCTGCCTTCTCCCAGCGCTCATTACCGCGCTCTAGTTTGCCAGGTCAAAGCAACTATCGCCGTCATCGTCGCCGCCGCCAGCAGCGAAGCAAGGCACCAGCTCTTCCTAACAATCTAGCTCCACCTCACGCTCCAGAGCTTCGTCGCTTTCAATGTACCTTCTGTACTGATACGTTTAAAACTAAGTATGATTGGCAGCGACATGAAAAGTCCCTTCATCTGTCCCTAGAGGAGTGGACCTGCTCGCCCTTTGGCGGTATTGTCCCTCTAGACGGCCACAACGTGTGCGCCTTGTGTCTGGCCATCAACCCGGACGAGAAGCACCTAGATCTCCATGAGTATTATCTATGCCATGAGAAGGGCCGACAGGTGCGAACCTTCTCCCGAAAGGATCATCTCCACCAACACCTACGCCTAGTTCACAATGTCAATTTTGGATCATGGATGGAGAGCTGGAAGACTAGCATCAATGAGATACAATCAAGATGTGGTTTTTGTGACACGAATCTCAACACCTGGACAGAGCGTGTAGAACACCTTGCGACACATTTCAAGGCTGGAATGGACATGCGCCAGTGGCAAGGAGATTGGGGATTCGAGACGGCCGTACAAGGCTTGGTGGAAAATGCTATGCCACCATATCTAATCGGTCAGGAGCGGTTAACGACAAATCCTTATAGTGCCAAGTCCGCCAAGGCGCTGGAGACAAGCTTCGAGGCCGACAGCCCCGCTGTTGCAGGGACGGATCTCGTCGAGGACGTCAATCACTGGCGTATCCTGGAACGTGAACTTACAGATTATATCAAAAGTCAACTGGAGATTGGTGTTATTCCTCCCGATTCCACGTTACAAGATATGGCTCGCATGATCGTCTATTCCTGTGACGATCCGTGGAACCAAACCTGTGCGGATAATCCTGTATGGCTGGGCAACTTGAAGCGAGAGGCTGGAGTCGAAGATTTTCGGTCACGACAGTCGATTATGAAAACTACTGGCGAAAGTGGCAGACTTGGCTAACGTCTTCGACGCATTTCCGAGAAGGATATCTTTTAAGCGCAGTCATCTTACCGGTTTCCTGATCCACTACATTCCTAGAGCATTGAAGCGATCCCTCACTACTCTTAGCGTCTTCGAGAATTAATGATTAATTAATATATTCTGGCAACTTGCTCCCTAGTGTTTCCAGTCTAAACCAGTCACCATAATGCCCTCCGAAGCATTACCATGTCCGGAAGAAAACAACTGACATGTGATGTCGAATTGTGATTGGGCTAATAAATATAGTGTGTGTGTCGAATTAATCATGCACCAGAATGGCAATCTAGACACCGCCTGGGAAAGACAACTTATATATATATCAGCCTCCGAGTCAAGATAAAGACTATCCCGCGAGGTCCGCAACCCCTCACGTCGTCATTTCATTAAACCAAACCCAGCTGATAAGCCAGTCCTAACCTCAAATGCTTCCTTCACCGGCTTTCAGCAACAATTGTTGGTTCGGCCACCTCCGTGCCAAAGTTATCAGACGCCATTGGGAGATCCGTTGGAGTTCCTGACGAGTGGAGCGCGCTAAGCAATCTAGGGTCTCGGATGGAATGCCCTGACGGGTGAAGATCGACAGACCCTGGATCCTGTGGCTGCCGCGACTGGAAGAACGTGCCAGGAACGATGCTATCTTATCGGCTGCTGCGGATGCAATGTAACCTCGGAGTTGGGAGTCCTACCGTGTGCCGTGTTGGTTGTCCCTGTTTGTGGCCTGATTGATAGGAGGCCTCCGACTAGATGGTCCTGCATGAGGGGGCAGGTAATGGGGGGATAAATAGGGCGTCTTGTCCCGGGGTGTTGGGGCTTCAGACACATTCTCTCTACATCAATTCCTCTGTAAATAGATCGAGGCGGTAGCCGCAGCACCGACAGTCATCATGGTTCAATTCAAGGTACGGACCGAAAGTCCCCGCCACTCTGACATTATGGGACTAAACTAGGTATTGCAATCAGAGCATCATCGCCCTTCTCCCCCTCTTCCTCTCCGTCTCGCTCGCCTCTCCCTCGGCCAGGAATAACCTCGAAAGCCGCGAAAGCTGCGAGTACACCTGCGGAAGCACCTGCTACTGGTCTAGCGATGTCAGCGCAGCCAAGGCCAAGGGATATTCTCTCTACGAGTCTGGGGATACTATTGACGACTACCCGCACGAGTACCACGACTATGAGGGATTCGATTTCCCAGTTAGCGGCACCTACTACGAGTATCCTATCATGAGCGACTATGATGTTTATACTGGTGGCTCGCCCGGAGCGGATCGCGTGATTTTCAACGGAGACGATGAGTTGGCGGGTGTGATTACGCATACGGGTGCTAGTGGTGATGACTTTGTGGCTTGCTCTTCTTAGGAGGGTGTGGTGTAAATAGACTGGTGTTATGTGAAATGTCAAGTTTATGAGGGTGACAGAATTTCATATTGTGTAAGGGACAGATTTGCGATTCTAACGTGAGAAAGAAGGTAGACTGGTAAGGGTGGAAGTGTCTAGGGAAGATGAACTGCGGTCGCATTACTTTCTCTGCTCTACGTGTCTTTCGAGAGGCTACCAATGCGCCTGTTAATGTTTATGTTGAAAGGTAGCACCCAGACAAGGCAATACTACTCTTTAGATGGTGTCAGCCTCACCGGGATGTGCGCATCTTCCTTCAGCGCCTCACAACGGCTTTTATACACACGACCCTCCTTCATCACCCCAAGGACGCATTCCTCCGGCCGGTCGAAGATAGTGACATCCTCAAGCGGATTCTTACTGAGGAAAAGAATGTCTGCCACAAACCCCTCTTCAATCTGTCCGATCCGCGTTTCCTGACCCATCATCTTCGCCGGGTTGATGGTCGCGCTCTGCAGGACAGCCAGCGGGCTGAGAACCTGCGCTCTGAGCGCAAACTCCCCAGTCTGTGCTATACCTAGAGGACCAAGCAGGTCGCTTCCATAGCAGAGAGTGACTCCCGCGTCGGACGCAATTTTCAAGCTCTGCATGCCAGCGCTCAAGACCTCGGTATTCTTAGCCTGTCCATCAGGGGGGAGATATCCCCTCCAACGTTCAGAATCCATCTGCGCATATGAGATAAGTGTCGGAGTCAGGTAGATACCTCGTTCCGCCATGATCTTTGCGACTTTCTCGGTGATGAAATTACCATGCTCGATCCCCTTTACACCATTGTCGATACAATGCATAATAGCCTTCGGGGTATAGGCGTGCGCTGTAACATAAGTGCCCGCATTCTCAGCACATTCCACCATAGCCTGGATCTCGGCTTTGGTAAACTGCAATTGGTCCAACCGATCTGTCGGGGTCGACACCCCACCGGAGCCCATGATCTTGATGAAATCAGCGCCCGAGCGGATCTCCTCACGAACCGCTGTCATGCATTCCGGCACTCCATTACATATGCGCCCGAGCCCGTTGGTGTGTCCTCCACAGCATTGCACGTGGTCGTGCGCAGCGCGAATATCCCCGTGGCCTCCTGCCTGCGACAGGGCGTGTCCGGCAATAAATAATCTTGGCCCCGGGAACACGCCGTCCTCAATTGCCTGTTTCAAGGCCAGCTGTGCACCTCCGCAGTCTCGTACGCTCGTGAACCCGCGGTAGAGCATCTGTGTGGCGACGTATGGCTGTCGCAGGAGGGATACATCGTTGAAATTCCCAAACGCCATGGATAGATCTTTGAAGCCGGGAACGGCGACGAAGTGCACGTGGGCATCAAATAGACCTGGGCAGATGTACATGCCATTACAATTTATGATTGTGTATTCCGGGGGTGGCGGACCAGGTAAAGACGATGTAATCACACTAATCACTCCCTCACATATCAGCACGTAATGATCTTCCAATATTGTACCGCTTGCGACCTCAACAATATTGGCGTGGGCAAGAATATAAAATCCAGGGTCTGGACGGAGCCAGGGTTTGATATCTGTAGTGGACGCCATGGTGAATGAGGCAGAACGGTGGAATTGAATCGAGAGGAGGAAAGATGGATGAGGAGGCGAGGCAAAGAGGGGAAGCGCTGGATGATAATGAGGGGTCGGCATTCGCGGCCGACGATCGGCGATCAAGAATCCTGATAAGCAGATAGTCATGGCATCTTTATCAAAATGTAATGAAGAGCCTCGGCATTATGCCCATCAGCCTGCTATATTAAACACTACGCAAGATATCTATCTAAGGACCTAATTCGCTTCTCTGGAGACCTTTACTCTCCAGATCACCTTATCTTCGGCCCCGATGTGCTTGGGAGTGTCAGGAAAATCAGGGTCTCCGATGTCCCCGGACAATGTAACAAATTCATAGTTTCGGAGCAGACTAGGGCTAGTGATGACAAAAACATAACAAGAAAACACGGAAAACTCTCATCAGGTACTTAGGAAAAAGCTTCCACCCATTCGCGCACCCACTTCCGGATCCACCCATCTTGAACCGCTGGAATGCTTCTTAGTATAGCACTCGACTTTGCGGTCTTTTCTGTCGCCGGTAATCCATAGACCGCATCAGTAGCGAAAACATCTAGATAGAAATCTAACATACGCATGGCCGAATGCATACCAGACAGCCTTTGCTGCAAGACTGGCGGGTCTGGTGCTTCAGCCTGTCCATCTAGTTTTGGGTTGTGTACATGTTCCGGACTGGACATTTGAAAGTCCTGTTCAATTTGGACCCGCCGTATCCATTGCTGGAATGTGACGGATTTGAGTCTCCGCGTAGTGATGCGCTGTGTCTCGTCGATGATGATATCGTGAACAGCGCGCCAGTCGATGGGGTGAAGGTTTACGGGGTGGAATACGTGAAATAAAGGGGTGGCAATACCACCCACTTGCCCTGCTTCCGTATCATCCTTGGGAGTATCCTCAATCAGGAGGTCGACGAGAACGTGTGATAGCAGGTCCATGGGGATCCAGTCGACGTGACTGCATCGTTGTCCCAGAGAACCCGGCAGTGTGCCCATCTGCAACGAAGCGGCAATTAGGCCTGATAACCAGTCGTTTTGGCTCCATACAGATGGGCTTTCGGTTGCGCCTGGAACGTAAGTAAGGCGAGCAATAGAGATCTCCAGACCAAGCCGGTCATGAGCATATTGAAGGAGTTGTTCCCCAACGTATCTGCTTTCACCGTAGCTGTTGATGCTAGGACGGTTCATTTGCACAGTTTGCTCGGGAAGGGCTGCACAGTCGCCATGCATTTTGAGAGGTCCGGCCATAGAAGACACCCAAAATAGCTTTGGACGATTTTTGGCAACTGTACATAATTCGAGGAGATTCACTAGGCCTCTTAGATGCGGCTCGAATGAGGAGAAGGACCAAACGAGGTTATTGGCCCACGCAGTGTGAATAATCATAGTGACGCTTCCTCGGAGGTCCCCGTAACCACCAGGCGATAGAGCGAGTTCCTTCTGGGATAGATCTACCTTCAAAAAAGTCACATTCTGCGGATCCAGATTGATTTCAAGCTGTCGACATCGGTTAGCATATAGTTGCTCTGCGCGACCATCCTCCACGTTCGAAACACAGTAAACATGCTTGACCGAGGAATGTTTGAGAAGCGTGTCGAGGATGTATGGTCCTACCCCGTTCATACTATCGGTGATTAGAACATAATGTCCCTCGGGCCGCTGTTGCGAAGGCCCCGCCCGAGGAATTCGGTCGATCATTTCTTGATACGTCTCTAGAGCAAGGTATCTTTCTGCGAGTCTTCTATCGATCGTAGACTGTTGCTTGTCCTTGCCATTATTACAGCTCTTATCAATCAAGGCCCTTGTTAGAGCTGTAATAGATGGGTTTGTATACAGTATGATCGGAGAAACGCCCGTGTCAGGTAAGTCTCTTCTGAGGATCCGTACTGCGCTTAGAGTTTGTTGAGAGTCCATTTCTCGAACATAGAGATCTTCGCTCTCATCTAAGTGGTCCCACCACGTAATTTTTTTGATGGTCTTTTTGATGAAATTAGCCACTGCTTCGGGCGTGACATTTGGTCAGGATTAAGAATGCATTGCCCGTCCTCAATGGAAGTATCAAGTGCAATCGATGCATGAAGTGCTTCGAGTTCCTGCTGGTATGACTCAATTGTCGCTGCGCGTTGAATAGTTCCTTTTGCAGAACGCTTCATTGGTTTTTCAGACTGAGTAAACAGAATATGGGTCTTTTCAATGCGTGCGTATGCGGGAACGACTTGATTCGCTTCTTGGATGATGGGCCATATGGTTTCCAATAATGCGTCACGATCCTTAGATTCTGACTCACCCACATCATCTTTTTTCTCCACCAATAGTATCGGCTGGAAATGCTGTGATCCTGTAACTAGAGCCCCCGAAATTAATCTGCTGCGAGATGTAATGCAGTGCTCCATGCCGACCGGGTTGATCTTCTCCCCATTGGTAAGGACGATAATGTCATCTCGCCGGCCACGCCACGTCCACAATCCCGACTTCTCGGGTGATGGATGGCGCTCAAAAAGATCTCCTGTTGCATATTCGCTTGCGTCTGTGAAACCAGGGTATGTAAAGACAAGCTGCTGTGTCTCCACCAGTTTTTGACGAACCATGCATAGTTCATACTGATCATCCATTGCAGGTCGAAACTGTAAGCCCATATCTGGATGGAATTCAAGATACTTCCAATCCTTTGGTTTGCGATATGAATTGGACAAAATCATGGGTAAAAGCCCTAGTTCTGTCGAACCGTATTGGTTGTACAAGGGAATCTTGACTGCGACCACGTCCCCTACTTGTTGTGGGAGGTCTCCACCGCAGTAGATAATACAATCTAAGCTTAAGGCACAGTATTCTAACAGATCAGGCTCTTGTACCAGCTCTTCCAGAATCGATGGAGGGACGATGGCTACCTTAGCCTTGCTTTGCTATATACCCTCCACCAGTCCCGAGGCTGATGGGATCGCTGCTGAAACTGGGGCAACCATGACAGTGCTGAATGGTAGGGCATTTAGAAGTAGGCTAACCAAGCAGGCACCCTGCACTGTGTTAGCTCTATTCTCAAGTCGCATGAGGGGTGAGCTAGTCCAGGGCCCAAAGGAGAGCATACATGAAAGGGAGGAAGAACTAGAAACACTCGCTTCCCATAGTAAAGCTTGCCGAGACTTTCGTATTCCTCAGGGGCATCCAAGCAATGCATCTTCATTCCCTTCCTTGCCGTATCATGCGTGAATGTCATAGGTCTGGGTAGTCTTGTTGAGCCGGAAGTATGGATGGTCAACAGGGGTTCGGACAAAACCTCTCCGAGAGACCTCGAAAATGGAAGGGGTGGATAAGCTGTGTCAAGGTGCTCTTGTGTTGTTGGTACGTCCAACACGTGCATTTCGTCTCCCTCTAGAATTCCGGCAATATGTGAGGGACGTGGTGTAGGGCAAATGATAACCTTGCACTGGATATGATGAAGTAGTTCGCGTTGCACAGAGACGCTGTTCCTGGGCGAAGGGAAAAACATCTATCCTAACATAAGAAAATGCTTTCACTCAATCCTTATGGGTTGTAATCCACATACCGAATATCCAGCTTTAATGGATGCTAGTGTCAGCACACTATATCGCATATCATTCGGTCCGATGTAGGCTAGTTTCGTTGACCCGTTGCCCATTTCGAGGTTCTGAATCAGCCATCTGGCAACGCCGTTGACAGCATTAGCAAGATCATGGTAGGTTATCTTGCGGTATCCCTGGCTATATGTTGATTGGGATAGAGGATACTCTGCGAAGACAGCATCTGGTCGAAGATGAGCATAATAATCCAATATTTCTGGTAATGTGTGCTCAGTCGGATCAAAGTCACTAAGGATAGGGTATGCTATCGTGGTCGCTGTATCATAACAGTTTGGCGCTGTGTTGTAATTAGGTGCCAAAAGCATCTGTCGACGGGATATCAGTCTCCAGGCCGCCACTACCTCGACATAAGCACTCTCTTCACGCTTTTCTGCGCGATGAGGTAATCTGCCTACTTGAGCTTTATTCACTGTGTGATATTTGTCACCCTCATCGAAATGCCCTGACATCAATATCATGAGATGTTCTCCTGCTATCATGCCACAATACTGAGGCAGTGTGGGCGGTATTGCAGTTACGCGTAATACACAAGCGTTTGCAAATTCGCTCATGTGTACTATAATATCACGAGCACATCACGGCCATAACAACCTGATTGCCAGAATGCTGATCTTCTGCACCGATAAAAAGCAGTAAGCCGTCTGCTGTGTCACCTAGAACCAAAGCCCTATCGACGACGTAATTGGCCTGCGGCCCGGGACCTATTTCTACTCATTGCAGAACCTGATAATCCCTTACGATTACTACATGCGGCAAGGAAGCAATTTGCCTTTCTGGGATCAGTGCATACTGTGAAACCTCGATTAAACAGGTCTGATGATGGCTTGCTTAGTCCTGTGATAGAAGAAAGGGTAGGATGCTTGGCCGTGTCTTGGCTGCAGAATCCGCAACGATGGGGATCATCGTAGCTGCCTTCATTCACAACGTAGACCCTAGCGTTAATTAGCTCTATGTAACCTCCATGTATTCCCGTCTCAGCCGAGTCATCCTTCTACGAACTTGGAACCTTTACACAACATGGATACCACGGAATCGCCCGCATCCGCCATTGTAATTGGTTAGCAAGCTGAGAACCTGCAAAACTACCGTTACTGACCAAAGCAGGTGCTGGAGCCGGCGGTATAGCTGCGGCGGCTCGGTTGGCGCTTGAAGGCTTCCAGGTGAAAGTGGTCGAGAAAAATACTTTTGTTGGGGGTAGATGCTCCCTTCTTCACAAAGATGGATATGTATGTATTCTTGTTGAACCAAATTCGTTTTCCATTAGTCTCAGCAACTCAGAGTGAGATGTTTTAACATGCTGAAAGAGATACGACCAAGGCCCCTCTCTAGTGCTTATGCCGGAGTTCTTCCGCAAGGCGTTCCAGGAGCTAGGCACTTCTTTGGAGAACGAAGGTATCCATATGCTTGAGTGTGAGCCCAACTACTGCATCTGGTTTCCAGATCATGATTACATCGAGCTCTCCCGCGACATCCCCCGTCTCAAAGCGCAGATCGAGTATCATGAGGGGCCAGGGGGGTTCAACCGTTTCTGTACTTTCCTCGCCGAATCGGGCCTGCAATATGAGCTTTGTAAGGAGAGTGTCTTCAATCAAAGCTTTCCCACCCTAAGAAGCATGTTCCATTCGGCGCTCTTCAAAGGTTTCCTTCATATCCGGCCTTGGACAAGCATGTACAGCCAAGCAGCCAAATACTTCTCATCGGAAAAGATGCGTCGCGTTTGGAGTTTCGGAAGCATGTATCTCGGGATAAGCCCTTATCGCGCCCTAGGCGCCTTCAGTCTCTTGCCTTACATTGAGATGACTGATGGAATCTGGTATCCGAGAGGGGGCTTTCAGCGTGTATGGAACTAATTCCCCAAAAGAAAGGAATATTTGAGCTGATTTACCACCACAGGTGTTACATGCACTCAGTGGAGTGGGACGTCGCCTTGGGGTAGAGTACTTATTGGAGAGCCCGGTAGCCAAAATCGAGCTCAGTGATGATAATGCAAAAGCAACAGGTGTGCTTTTGGAATCCGGCGAGGTTCTACGAGCTGATATCATTGTCGTGAATGCTGATTTGGTCTATGTTTATAACCATCTTCTGCCTCACTCCCGCAAAGCTGAACGCTTACGCAAGCGGTCTACCTCTTGCAGTAGCATCTCATTCTACTGGGCCTTCAATGAGCAGATTCCTGAGCTTCGACCTCATAACGTGTTCCTGGCAGGCCAGTTTCGCGAGAGCTTTGATAAAATCTTTGACGATCATGACGTGCCGGAAGACTTTTCCTTCTATGTCAATGTTCCCAGCCGGGTAGATGTGACAGCTGCCCCAGCAGGGAAGGAATCCGTCATGGTTCTCGTCCCGGTCGGTCGATTAGTTGACACCCTGGGTCCCGATGAACAAGAAAAACGGTGGAATGAATTAGTAGCTCAAACGCGCGACATTGTCCTTGACGCAATCGAAGCACGTACAGGAGCCCGCAATCTGCGTGAAAAGCTTGTCCACGAGCTTGTGAACAGTCCTCTTACGTGGCGTGAAAAGTTCAACTTGGATCGCGGAGCCATTCTAGGCTTGTCTCATGACTTTGACAACGTTCTTTGGTTTCGTCCGCAGATGAAACATCCCGCTATTCAAAGCTTGTATTTCACGGGCTGCAGTACACATCCAGGCGCAGGAGTTCCCGCATGTCTGCTCAGTGGCAAGTTCGTGGTCCAACATATAATGGAAGACTGGATGAAAGCGAAAGGTACCACCAGGGATTATAGTCTTTGGGTAATGTTGACAATGGCGTTTGGGCTTCTGACGGCTCTGTCTTTAGCAAAGTCGTCCTACTTGTGGTAGGGGTGCTATCTAGAAACTGAGCGGTGGCTCCATTCCAGACTATTATTCAGCGTACAATTCTCATGTGCCGCCTATTTCTCTTTTTTACCCCACATCCTGGCGACTATATGCCCAAGAAACGTACAAGAAACGTAGTCTCTGTTCTTCGATATATGGTCGCTTTGCATGACCGGTGTCAACACGATGGGCAGTGATCCTCAATCAGAATCCTTCAATCAGAATCTCTCCAGGCAAATGGCGCTCAGGTTTCCGGACCTCTTTCTGGTCAATCCCTGATAAAATCACTGTTGTGGAAATACCGGGCCAATCTTCAGTACCTTAACAGTGATGCCGCGTCATCTCAGCTGGACACTTCTACGCAATACCAACAAAAATAGACTAGTCATAGACACTATTACGCAACCGGGTGTACAGCGCGTATGAAAAACCAGAATTCAGATACGTAGACACATATTCAACCGACTGTGATAGCAATGATTCCTCGTAGTACCACATCTTACTGACCCAGACATAGAAAGCTTTCCAAGGACCCCGGACCAAGCAAAATTAAACATGCCGTGACTAAAACAACAACCAACGTAAAAGTCACCCAAATATAGGCAGTCGCGAACATCGTTGGTTGTTGGGGCCTTGTGTCCCGTAAAATTTTCTCGCAGACCAACTTACTTCCGGCTAAGCAGACTGGAACCCCTGTGCCGGGGTGGGTGCTAGCTCCTGCAAAGTAGAGTCCATCTATCCTCGGATGTTTGAGACTAGGCCGAAAGCTCAACATATTGAAGAAAGAGTGCGATAGCCCAAGTATAGCGCCACGGTCGAGGTTGAACTTATCCTTCCACGTGTGAGGGGTCTCATATGTCTCGTGCAGCAATTTCGATCTCATATTTTGTATCCCAGTCCTTTCTTCGATAGTCTTTATAACTAAATCACGTATGTCTGGTATAATCCTATCCCAGCGCTTCTGATCTTTGATTCCTGGTTCCCTCAAGCTCCCCACGGGCACCAGTACAACCACGGCGTCTTTGCCAGGTGGGGCTGCTGTTGGGTCAATCCGACTGGGAACATTCACATAGAACGAGGGTTCATCTGGGATACTGAGGTCAATGAATATGGAGTCAAAGCTCTCACGATATTTATCCGCAAGAAATATATTGTGGGATTTGAGCTGTGGAAAGGTGGCGTCAAATGCCCAAAAGAAAGAGATACTGCTGCAGGAGGTATGCCGTCGTTGTAATGACCTACCGTATCCTGATTCTGGGAGTAGATTATTGTAGGCATACACTAGGTCTGCGTTTATGACAACCAGATCAGCGTATATTGCTTCACCTGAACTGAGCCGAACACCCTTTGCCGAGCGTTGGTCCGGAGTTAGGAGAACAGAGTCTACTGAGGCCCGTAGACGGTAGTCCACGCCCAGTCTACAACCAATGTCTGCAAGGGCTTGTAGGACCTGGTGGTGGTTAGTTGTTGATTTGTATTCGTAATGTGTTATTGAGTGGAATATGGGAGGTGCCTGATCTGGCATGATTGACAGGTATTACTCACCTTTTGAAACCCACCACGGGGATACCAAATTCCATCGACGGTCTCGGAGTACTGCAACAGGCTATATGTTCCAGGTGCCTGGTATGGGCTCATACCCATGTACATAGAAGCAAATGTCCATGCTTGCTTCATCTTGGTACTAGTAAAGTACTGCTCAACGATACCAGCCATGGTAGTCCATGGGCGCATAGCGACGAGCGCCCTCAGGACATTGGGCTGCAAAAGACTGAGGAAGTGTGGAAAATCTCTGTTCATTATATAGTCCAAGCTCAAATTGTAGTATTGACCAGTCTCCTTCAGGAAGTCCAAAAGCTTAGAGAGGCCCGTTATACCCTCGTGTCGGATGACCTCCTCGTTCAACCGTGATATATCAGAAGATAGCTCCACAATATCATTATCTGGAAACCAAATGCAGTAGTTAGGTTCGCATTTCAGTAGCTCTACACCTTCCGAGCTGAGGGATGTTCCGAGATCTTGAAAGGTTTTGCTGAAGATTTCACGCATTAAGAGAAGAGATGGCCCTTGATCGAAGCGCTACATTGCTTTAGTTTAGTGGTAGATTTTTGCAGACCGAGAACTTACATATCCATCTCGTTGTATAATAGAACATCTCCCTCCAACAAAGGCATGTTTCTCCAGCACAGTCACCGTGAATCCCTCTCGGGCAAGTCGCGCGGCAGTTGAAATTCCTCCCACACCCGCGCCTGTGATGTATTGATCAGACACTATGGCACCGTCGAAAGCAGGCTGCAAAAGCTCTGTTTAGAATGTACATACCGACTACGATGGCGGACTTTTTGGCCATTGTGTAAGTGTACTTGACGTCTCCTCTGGACCAATGTGTCAAGTTTCGGGCAGGATTGAAGTAGTGATGAGGGCCGGGAGAACACAGGATTACATTGGATGATAGCACAGTGGCGTCGAGTAACGCTGCTGCTCAATCCATCTGACTAAATCGTATGTGCTCCTTGCAGACTTCTTCATCTGGAGTGTATCTTTTCATACAAGTTGCAATACCGTATCAGCCCGGTATTGTAAATTGCAAAAGTAGGACTTTGACCTGGTACTCTGACGGATGAAACGTTCTTTTACCGAACTTTGCCATCCTTGTTCCAACTTTTGCGTGACCAAGTAAAGCAGGGAAGAGGGACGATCGGCAATCTACTCACCCACCGAGATATAGAAG